CGTGCCTCTGCAGGCAAAGGAACGAAAACTGCATATTTGCTAAAGCGGTCCACTACGACCATGACTTGGCTCTTACCATGTCTACTCTTGACTTGAGTGTCCATGAAGTCTATGGACACTGAGTCCCCCGGCTGATCCAGAATAGGCAAGGGTCTGAGAAGACCTAGGGGTGCGCGTGTTGTAGACTTATTCCTTTGGCACACTTTACAACTGCGAACATACTCTATGCAGTCATTCTTCATTCCGGGCCATGTATACGCATGCATCAGGTTGGCTAATGTCTTTTGCCAACCGAAATGCCCTTCAATATCGTGGCATTCCCCTAAAATCAAACTGCAGATCTCTTCGCTGTTGGGAACGCACAGGCGGTCAAACACATTAGTCTTCTCAAACAACAACCCGTCTGTAGTGCGGTAATCTGGTTCAGTCTCTGGGACCTCTCTAACTCTCATTAGGAGGTCGCTATAGATAGGGTCCTGCGCATATGCTTGCTTCACTTTCTCCTGCAGGTCTCTCCCTATATCCAGATAGTGTACTACGGCTCCAAAGTAATCTGATCTCCTACTCAGAGCATCCGCAACTACGTTGTATTTGCGCTTCACTGGCTTGAGCTCAAAGTCGAATTGGTCTATCTCTGCGGCCCACCTAGTCAACTTAGGCATCATCTTGGCCTGAGTCTTCAACCATCTAAGCGTTTCGTGGTCATAATACACTTTGAAGTGCCTCCCAAGCGGATAGTGCTTCCAATGATCTAAAGCCTGCCTGAGAGCGTAGAGTTCTCTCTCGTACGTGGAGGTAGCGACCTTCTCACAGGGCATCCTCACTGACATGAACTCTACGGGTCTATAGCCATTACTGTCGTCTTGCTGCAACACGGCGCCTATCCCATACTGACTTGCGTCCGTGGTGACGACAAATGGCAAGGACGGATCTGCAACTTTGAGGACAGGATACTCTATTAACGCGCGCTTTAGCTTCTTAAGCGCAGACGTACAATCTCTGTCCCATTGCCAGATCGCCTCTTTCTTCAGCAATTTGCGCAAGGGAGCGGCGATAGTGGAGAAGTTCCTCACGAACTTCCTGTAGTAGTTAGCTAGGCCTAGGAACGACCGCAACTCTGTCAATGTGCGGGGCGTCGGCCAGTCTCTAATCGCCACTATCTTACTGTCCTCTGGCTTAACGCCATCTCCGTCTAATACGTGGCCTAAATACATGACTTGTGTCTTGGCCCACTCGCACTTCTTCGCGTTGATCTTGAAGTTAGCCTCTCGTAGCTTCTCCAAGACCTGCCTCATATGACCCTGATGCTCCTGGAGGGTCTTACTAAAAACTAGGATGTCATCTAAATAAACTACGACAAACCTATCCAACCAGGGTCTAAACAGATCATTCATGCAACGCTGAAATGTAGCTGGCGCGTTGGTTAGTCCAAAGGGCATCACTATGAACTCATAATGCCCATATCTAGTCCGGAACGCAGTTTTGTACTGGTCGTCAGGATGGACTTCTATCTGACGGTATCCGGATTTCAAGTCTATTTTGGAGAAATACTTGCAACCCTGCACCCGATCTAAAAGATCGTCTATCGTGGGCAGTGGCTCCGCATTCTTTACAGTAATCGCATTCAAACCCCTGTAGTCTATGCACATACAAAACTCTCCTTCCTTCTTGGGGACAAATAAAACTGGTGCTCCAAAAGGAGACGAACTGGGCCTGATCCAACCCTTCTCAAGGAGTTCGTCTAACTGCTTGCGAAGCTCCTCTAACTCTCTAGGGGACATTCGGTAGACTGCACCCTTAGGAGTTCTACTGCCAGGCTCTATCTCTATCCTGTGCTGGATGGGTCGCGGCACTACTCCTGTCGGCGACTCAGTCAAATCTTTGAACTCTTCCAGCAGCTTGGCAAATGTTGGATCTATGGAACTATCCTTTTCTTGGCCCTCAGTGACAGGTCTAACATAAACTACAAAGACCTGTTCCTCTAACTGCTCCTTTTTGACTAATCGCGCGAACGCGGGAGCACTGAGACAGCAATGTGCCAAGGTGTTGTCTACACCAGACACATGGAACAAGCGGGCAATCTTAACCTCGCCTGACGGACTAGGGAGCCTACACTCATGCTCTCTCAAATGGAGTGTGGCCCCTGCTGCCTCTCCCCAATCCATTCCCAATACCATGTCAAAGGGAAGGTCATCCTGTACGAGGAGCATCAGGGAATGGAGAACTTTCTCCACCTTCCCATCCTTTTCTAGGCGAAAGTACGCCTGGACTCCCTCTACATAGTCCTCAACTCGCATCGTGCGGTTGTCTGCGAGGACACTGACTATGGGGTCTGCCAATTTCTGGACTTTTAGTCCCAGCCTCAACTTCTTCAGCGCCCTGCGACTGATGTAACTACGGGTAGCCCCTGAGTCTATAAGGGCCCCTACTCTACTCTTGAACACCTCTACATCTACCAAAATCAGTTGTCCTTACTCTCTTTCTTCATCTTGGCTCAGGCTGGCATTCTCTCCTTCAACTCTTTCGCCACACCTGTGAGGGACGTGCCTAAAGAGACGCTAACACAGGCGGTCTCTGGACAGCTAGCTAGGCATGGGCCTGCAACCTCTGTCATAGGTTCATGTGGGTTGGGAGTGTCATGTTTGCGCGCGCTCACTTCTCCACATGACCTTGAAGTAGGGGCAGCTGCAAACCCTACTGGCGGCTGCTTTTGACTGTTGGGCAGCCCAACGGGCCTGTCTATACTTAGGACAAAATTTAATGACGTGCGCCGGGTCACCACAGAATACGCACTGACCCATGTTCACGCGTTCCTGCCATAATCGTTGGTCCAAGCCCAAGTCTTCCCAGGGCCTGCCCTGTGGCAAGCTTGGGTGCCATCCTCCTTGAGGTGCTCTTCCACCTCCTCGCTGTGGGGACCGATCACCCTGACGATTTAACGGGGGACCTTGACCCCTACCTCCCGCTTGGCGGTTTCCCTGTCCGCCAACCCCCTGAGCGCCCGGTCCTCGGCCTCCCATGGCCTGGCCCCTTTGGCCCTGGCCTCCTTCTCTACCTTGCGGCCTCCCTCCGACCACGACAGCAGCGTAAGACCTCCCCTGCCCTACACTACTGTACTCCTCCCCTAGGCCCCACTCAATCTGATCATATGGGACCTCTTCTGTACCACCCTCCTCTAATGTCAGGATCAAGTGATCCTTGGCCTTGACTTGGCCCGAGATGGTACGATCCTTCCACTTCTTCCCTTTCTCCAGGTCCTTATGCCAGAAAGTGGTAACTGGCATAGAGTTCGACTCGTACAGGACGACTTCTCTACTCAATGCATCGTAAGTGATGCCGGCCTGCTGGGATTTGTCAAAGAAATGCCCGCGTAGGGCCTCTGGAACGGCACGATAAAACAACTGGACCAGCTGGGGCTTAGTGACCCCATGGTCAGGGACGGCTACCACGTCGTCCATGGTACCCTTGAGTGCCTTGGCACTCCTCCATTGCTGTGAGTGGATCGTTTGGAGCTTATCAGAAGCTCTAATGCCTCGCGTTGGGTCAGCGAAACGCTCCTTGAGGAGCTTGAGGAATTAGGAAAGAGGGGTGACTTTGGAATATGCAACCAGGTTGTTTTCACAACCGGCTGTACGCGCAAGAGACCTGGCGAAGCTAGCTGCGTCATCTTTCAGGGCCTGGAAGGCCACGAGGACTTGTTCCTCCATCAGGATATGCTGTAAGTAGATATAACTGTTGACACCGGCTTCCCAGTTGTCAAAGTTTTCTTCCTTCTTTCCCCCGTAGGCATCTGGGAACTTAAGTTTCACTGGGTCCTTACGGGGTCTGGCCTCTCCTTCCACAGCGGCTGCAGCTTTGGCACCCTGAATGGCGCCCTCACAAAACTTCCCTACATTGTCCCTGAACTGTTTGACTTCGCCCCCAATGCGGGTGACGATTTCGTGCGCAAAATTCCTGAAACCGGACCGCATGGCACTGAATGCTACATCCTGGCTCCAGCTTGCCTGGCGCTCCTCCATCCAGGCCTTGCTCAACACCTCTAGGTAGCCTAGTACCTTGTCCCACTTGGCCTTATCATCTGGCTGGGCCAGCACCTCCGCTCTACATTCCTGCACCTTTGCCACTGCTGCGGTCATCTTATTCACTTCCTCTCTCCTCCTCTTCTTCTCCCTCTTCATTCTCAGCTTCCATGCTAACTTTTGCTCGTCTTCCCTCTCTCTTCGTTCCATCGGGTCCGTCATGGCTGCTAGCTCAGCGGCCAGCACAGCCTTCTCATCCTTAGTCACATATGACTCCGCCTCCTCGTCTTCCCCCAACGATAAATTAGCGACCCACTCGCTGATCTTCTTCCCCAGCTCAGGATCTGTCTCCCACTTCATCGTGCCACCACTGCTCCCTTTTCCACTCTCAATCCTCGTTCTCTCTTTCTCTTCTTCTGCTGCCGCTTCTGCTTCAGCAACTTTTCTTCTTTCTTCCTCCTCTTGTTGTACTCTCTTCATCTCCTCCTCCAACCTCTTCATCTTCGCCGCCTGCTCGTCTGCGATAGCCTTTAGCTTCGCTTGCTTCTCACGTTCTTTCCTCTCCCTATTCTCTTGGACTAAGGCGGCCATCTTTTCTTGCTGCTCCTTACTATAGGGGTTAGTCTCTAACCCAGTACGGGTCTCAACCATGGTGATAAGMGTAYAACYRGGTTAGTGGTTCCAAACCWCACCACGTGGACTCTGACCCCTGACTGACAAACCTATTGACTCAATCTAATGACTCACAGAATCCTGACAGGGATCCTGCCAACTAGGATCTCTAGCCTAGACCTATACTATGGCTGTCACTACTGAACCAATGGCTGATCAGGAGGCATTTAAGGAGATCCCCCGTAACTCCGCAAGAATTCTTTAACGTCGCAGACAGGACGACGTGATCAGCTTGGTTCTGCYTGTGCTTTCAGCCCACAACTCAGCCTTTCCGGCCTACTGTGCTACACCGAGCAACCCGCCGGTCTATACCGGTCCTTGGGAGGGTTTGACCTCCGGGACAGTCGAGTCGTCAGACACAGATCCTCAGCCTTACTTGGTCCGGTAGGGGAGTGGTTCCAACAGGCCCTCAACACTTAAAGACGGCCTCCGTTTCAGCTTGCAGCTCAGAGTTCGGACCCTCTACACTGAAACTGAGCAGACCTGCCGGACAGTACCGGTCATTGGGCTAGACGAGTTGTTTAACGAGCGCTCGCCGCTCATGCCCAGGTCTCCAGATANGAGAGAGAGAGAGAGAGAGAGAGAGAGATCTGACACATTTAGAAGATTGGCTGTCCCTCTCGCATCATACTAAACCCATGATGTAATGAGCCCGAACCAGATGGAATCAGATTTCAGGTCGTTGTCAGTGATTTGTTTGGGTATAAATACTGGAGCAGCAGCTCAAGTATTTGCACTAGCGCAACCATAAATCCTGAAGCTCCAGTCTATTTATACTCTTGTCAATTCCCACCATCCCTGATCCCAAACAAGCGTTTTCAGTATACCACAATTTCTATTAACGGAAGAGTGAAGGAATCCTGTCCGTCCGTTGTCACAGGGCCTCGCCACATGGCACACGAATGGAAAACGAAACAAGTGCATCTGCCCTCGGAAGGTGGGCAAATGCACTCGTTACTATTTATATCGAACTGATGAACCTGTCTATTTTCTGTGGGAAGATGCACTCGTTTCTTTTTTCGTTCGTGTGCCATGCCGTGGCGCCCACAATCTGATGACACAAGACAACATCTACGGTAGTCTCGTTTTGTAGAGGCACCACATTGAGCCACCTGAAGCTACGGTACGGTCTGGACCAGAACAGAACTATGCTCTTCACCCACCTCGAATAGAAGTCATGCTCATTATCGCTGTATTTAGAGAGAAAAAAGCTGGGCCAAGTATACAACTATGAAGACTGAGAGATGGTTAATGGAAGACCGAAAATTTGGGTTTTTTTGCCGTCTTTGAAAATTTTGTGAACAAACTATGCAGGCTCATAATACAAACAAACAAAAAAAAAAAAAACAGGAAAAAAAAAACGAAAAAAAAACAAACTCAAGAGCACTATAAAACCTTATTCAAGGACCTGAGCACTCGGTCGGCGGGAGATGGAACAGTCGCAGGAGACAGGCAGAGGGAAAGAAAGAGGATGGAGTGCTGTTTAGGTGTCCGTCGAAGGCTAGACCGATTAGTAGGACACCAAAAGGGTGGAAACCAAGTGGCAAGTAGTAGCGATAGTGGTAGAGCCCAGCAATCATTGATCAGAGGTTGATAGGACTTGTTAGGACTTTTGCAATCAGACTCGTTCTCAAACACACTTTTCATGCATGTAAACAACAACGCAGCATACTGGCGACATGCGCCCACTCAAAACTCAGAGATATGGCTTTCAGATACCAGTTCACTCTCAATTGGCCATGGYGACTTCAGCGCCCAAACATCTCACTGTTCACATACACTGGATCACCCTGGATATCCCACACGCATCACTCTAACACTCGAACACACACACACACTCRCTACTAACTACAGCTATGGSAGCTACTGCTGCATCTAATCCTATCGCTATACTAACTCCCTCYCTCTTGCCCACTGCGACCTCCGGGCTCATCTGCAGACCTCCTTGCACAAGACGCTATGGCAGCGCTTCCGCATGGCTCACGCAGGAATGAATGAATGGCTGGGCGCTGCCTCTTGATTTATACTTCAGAAACTCGTTGGTCTGCCCTTTGCCATCGGGCCTTGGTGCTCACAGTCCCCCTGTGGTACTTGCTGGACCGGACTGGGACTCTTTATCAGTTTCTGGTTGTTCGGCTTTATTGGCCCTGGTGGCAATTTTATTCTTCGCTCAGAGAGGGAAAGTCAGGACAGAGGTCCTTGGGACCGGAACTGCTCCTAGTTTAAAGTACCCCTCTGAAGCCTAAGCTAAGCTGGCTGATGCTTTCAGTATGTTCCCCTGGGTCGAATTGTGAGGATCCCCGGCCTCGTGTGGAAACTTTTTTTTTTTGTTTGTTTTTTTTTGTTTTGGGAAAGGTCGAAACTTTTATATTTCAAAACATCATAGGAGAGGACCTCACAATTCAACCCGGGTTTGAACTGGGGCCATTACCCAGATAGGCTGTGCTGAAAACCGGGTTCAGCGTCCCAGGGAGAAACCCCTATTATCAGATCTACATAAACTTACCAGACGGTCGCTGGAAACCGGGTCCAGTGTCCCATTCCTATGTTTATCAAAGCTTTCCAAAAAGGTGAAAGATAACTTCTCTGAAGCACAGATAAAAAAGAATTCAATGATCGAAAATCCCTTCGTCTATCCCTCATCCTAACTTCGCTGGTCCTCCTACCTATCTACTGTGTAGATTCCTATCACAGCAGACCTACCGTGGCCTGGTCACGGAGGTTTCAACCAGTGAGTTACCACCATTCTTCCCTCCCCCGAAATCTCTGCTAACTTATTGTCTCTCGCCCAGGATTTTGAAAACCAAAGCCGGCCTTTGCCTTGGCGACCCGAGCATCTTTTCCAGTCTGTTTTGATCTGTAGTCTCAAATTTGCTTTTACCATTTGTATTTGCTGATGCAGGTTTGCTGTTTCCTTGTTGAAGGCGGATGCGTTTCTGGCCCATCAGATCACCTGCATAATTACTCCTCTGCAAACCAAGGCTACGTAACCCCAGCCTTCCGCGTAGTTATAGCAGTGGTCTGGCAGCCCGCCATACAGAATCCAGTCATCCGTCCAGGGAAAAGCTCCACCAGTGCAGACCCTCCAGAACTCTATCCACCATTGCCACAAGGTATCTGACAGTGGGCAATGACAGAGAGCAGTTGGAATTATCTGTAGACTTTGAGCCCATAACAAGCTGGAATCCCGTTGAGTTGGTAGCTTCTTCAAGGCCTTCCACAGAGCTTGCCAGTTGGGAGCTTCTGCCAACGACCCTTTTATCTTCATATATCTCTTGTTTGCCAGTGCAGTAGGAGAGTTTTCTTGTTTCCATCTCAGTCTCATCGATCTCACTCCTACCGTCAGGGCATAGTGACATAATGGGACTGGGTTGTCGATTTCTCTATCCCCCTGCCGCCAGCCCAACAGGAGAGGTTCCACCCGGAAGGAGTCTGCTTCTCCCAGTAGGAAAGTATGTTTCTGAATCTGTAAGACACGAAGCTCTAGGAGTCCTATTGTAGACTGCACAGTTATGTCTTGAAATTTTATTAGTTGCACCCCTCTTTTAACTGTGGTCCCTTCTCTCCATTCTTCCACCCTCCACCCCCCCCTCAAGTCGGGGCCTATCAGTCTCCACACCAGGGACTCGTCCGCCTCTGGGCGCATCCAGGTACCCGATGAATGTTTGGACGAACTGCTCAGAGTTAGTGCCCAATGGCGCGGAAGAGCTTCAATTATCTTGCTTCTGTTATCAGATACGGAGCGCAGGCGTGGTAGCTTCTGTCTCAGCTGTTCTTCCGACAACCAGTCATCCGTTTCTTCGTCCCAGAGATGTTTGATGAGGAAGATCCCTTTTTCCACCCATGCCTTCCCGAAGTTACCTGTCCCATCCGTGGCCATGAAACTGCCTCCTTCTGGTGCAAGGATCAACGGGTTCTCGAATAGGCATTGCGCTGCAATCTCCTTCTTTGTGCCTGGTGGCTGGAGGGCTTCTGGGGATAGCTTTTTCCAGGCTCGAAGGATGCCTCTCCATAGCCTAGATTTAGTTCTTCTATTCAGGTATGATGGGATCAGGATGCACTGCCAAACATCTCCCGGACTTGACAGCGTCCACTCCTTCTGTAGTATGTACTCTGCAAGACGGACCCATAACTTGGTAGGGTCTTCGAAGAGTGCTTTGATCACCCATTTCGCGAGCAACGCTAAGTTTTGCAACTGGGGATCCTGAAGTCCCAAGCCCCCTTCTTCACGGGGGAAGCATACTGTGTCCCAGGCGGCTTTAGTAATGTATCCCTCGCCCTCCTCCGCCCCTGGTTTCCAAAGGTATCTCGCCGCAGCTGTTCTGATGGTCGAGTAAGCCTTTTGGAAACAATTTTAATAAAGTGCTTGGAGTTAAAAAAAAAAAAAAAAAAAAAAAAAAAAAAAAAAAAAAAAAAAAAAAAAAAAAAAAAAAAAAAAAAAAAAAAAAAAAAAAAAAAAAAAAAAAAAAAAAAATTTAGGGGAATATGGCACAGTTTCAGTGAAACTTTCACTGAAAACGACACCACCTATTAACCACGAGTGGAGATAAAGACTGTGCATTCTAATGCTAATCGGGTGAAGATGGTAGGACCCAAAAAAAAAAAAAAAAAAAAAAAAAAAAAAAAAAGATGGTAGGGGAAAAAGGCAAAATTTAAAGAAAAATTTTAACTAAAACAAACACCCCAATTAAACCCCAAGGGAAAAAAAAAATTGGGATTTTAAAAACAAAAGGGGTAAAAAAGTTAGCCCCCAAAAAAAAAAAAAAAAAAAAAAAAAAAAAAGATGGTAGGAGTTGGTTCGGTCCAGTTGCGGTGGTAAACTGTTAGTTATTAGTAAATAGTTATGTATGTGCAAGCGACTGACCTGCCCCATCAACAGAAGGGAGAGCAATTCGTCTTCCCGTTCTGCTCTTTTTTGTCTTTTTTGACGTTTTTCTTTTGGCGAAGATGTCGGTTTTGTATTAAAAAATGCCGGAAACCCAGGTTCATCAATGAATGAGGCTGACAAGTGCTTGGGACAGCCTTGGGACAATAGGGGATCTTTGAGCCTTGGGATTTCTAGAGTCTTGTTTTAAACCACCAGTACATCCGGAAAAAAAAACAGATTGAGCCTCTCGTAAACATTCGGGGGCCATGGAGCGTTAATAAAATGAATTGAATTGACAAAAGGTTGCATGGCCTCCTTTCTTTTCAGAAGATGCTCAATCTGCTTTTCGGGATGTACAGTAGATCTGAGGCCTCCTGGTATGCTGGAGCTGAGAGGATTTCTGGAAGTGGGCAAGATGACAGTCACAGTCAATCTTCCATGGAAAATGGAGTAATCAATGCTGCTCAGGGGTCCTTTGGACGGAAAGGAAGGAAGGAAGGAAGGGAGGGTGGGTGTTCAGTTTATGTATCCTTTGACTTGCTGGTGGAATAGGAATCGGACTGATGCTCCCTCCCAAGAATGCACATAGAGCCATTGTCGTAAGGACCTGTTTTATGGGGAAAACAAATAAATGATGGAAACTGGGTCCACTGTCCCTTATATCAGATGTACTCACTCAATGCCTGCCTCTTCCCGTTATGATCGCGAGATCCTGTTCCCATTCTTATATTATCCCTTTCTCCATTTATCTTCGATGGTCTACTGTGTATTACCATTTTGAGCTGTATGCTCTCACAGACTGTGTGCTCCTCTTGGACAAATGTATGCCGTGTATAGAGTACGTCGGAAAAAAAAAAAAAAAAAAAGAACAGGATATGGATGGTTCTTGTCCTGCAGAGTGTATATATCTGTGTGCGGTGCTCAGGGTTTAGTGTACACATGCCATATCTGTCTTGTTCCCTCCCTCCCTCCCCCCCGCCTCCTTCCTGTGAGTAGAGGAGCTGGGCCCAAATCCATTAGAATGTACCAATGTGTGTAAACTGCTTCGGAAATCCTTTGTTCTTAGGGTATGCTCACACTAGGACTTTTTAGACTGGTCTCTGACCATAATTTCGGTCAGATGCGTCCTATTCGTGCCGTAACTACGGCCAGATAAGCGCAGAAAAGTGCTCGTGTGAGTACGCCCTTGCTGAAAGCGGGCTGGTTATGGCAGTTTTGCACACAAGTTTTTGAGTTTGTGTATGCCGGTCTGTTTTCTGAATGGAAACAAGTCAATCACGTAAAAAAGGCAAGAGTGAATTGTGAGGTGATCTGACGAGCAAATCAACGGTGGTGGGTGGACTGCCTTTTCGCTGTCGCAGGCCCTAGGCTGCACTTGAAAGAGGATGTACCCTTCATGCCTCTGCCCACAGGGATTGCTGCTCCGTCGTCATCCTCACCTGAAAGCTCTGCTGAAGAAGACAGCTCGCGGACAACCTCTTCAAGATTGAACTCCACATGGAGACCTCTTGCTGTGAAATCAAGGGTGAACCCGGCCCATAAGTTTGATAAGTACAGAGGCGGTTATGATATCAGCAACTCCGACTACTGGGCTGTAAGTAACATGCATGGCTGAGTGAGCTAGAGCCACCTAATCCCCGCCTTGAAAGCAATGATTTTTGTATTTTCTTTTGTTCTGCTTTTTTTTTCTTTTTTTTTTCCCCCCAGAAGGGGCCCAGAAGGGGGGGGGGGGGGGGGGGGGGGGGGGGGGGGGGGGGGGGGGGGGGGGGGGGGGGGGGGGGGGGGGGGCGAGGGGGGCCAAGTTGCATATGGCCCCTCAAAGATGTGGATTTCCTCATAGGCACCTGAAAGCTGCAAAAATTAGAATGTCCTTCCAACAGTGGTCCAAATTTGCCAAATTTCCACTATGTGGACTAGAAAGCTTTTGGTTTCTGTCAATTCGAGGTTGCGGCAATTTGCGTATGCCCCCTCAGAGATGCGGATTTCCTCATAGGCACCTCAAAGATGTAAAATTTGTAGGATGCCCTTCCAACAGCGGTCCAAATTTGCGAATTTTACACTTTGTGGATTAGAAAGCTTTTGGTTTTCGGCAATTGGAGGTTGTTTGTACACCAGGATGAGTTTCAATTTTGCCCTTGATCTTGGGACAATTTTCGTTGAGCCCGGATGGACCTATGGTATTGCACAACGGATTAGTCGGTGAGGTGGAGCGCGGATGATGATTGCATTGTGTTCGTTTCCGTTTTGCGTGCACAACTTTGATCGTGCGGCATTACATTTGTGATTTCAGAACTTTGCCTGCTTGCGCTAGGAACCACGCTACAACTCCTACTCGATCCTTGCCTGCATCGCTTCTTCTCCCATGTCTTGTGTGGCATTCTCTGTTCCACACGGGCCCTTCATATTTCACCATTCCCGCAGTGCATGTTTTATGTGCAGGATTATGTAAAGTAGCTAACAAGTCATTGTGTTTGATTCTGGAATGATTTTTTACTTCTAATATAAATTGGGAATTTCTTCTCGTTTTTTTACAGAAAATAGAATTTTGAGAAAAGAAAATATTGTTTTCTTTCTTTTTAAAATTGTAAGTCCGTAAATTGCATTGTTTAGACAATGACTTAAAAGTAATCTTTTTTTTTGTTCACTATGTCTAGTGAAATTATTCATAAAACTTTCTTGAGAGCAGGGCCCGGTCCGTAGGCCTATGGGGTTAGCAGGGTTAGTAGGACCAGTAGGCCGAGTAGTACCAGGCCTGGCGCGTTGTTTCACTAGCACCAGGCCCCCGGTTAGAGGACCAGTTGGGCATGCAGTAGGGGGCACGGGCCCTGGGCGTCGTTTCAGGCCCTGGGCGCCGTTTCAGACCCTGGGCGCCATCCGCAGGCCATGGTACCGTTTGGGCGCCAGTTTAGGCACCAGACCTCCATGGTACCGTTGGGCGCCACGTTTAGCTGCCACGCCTGAGGCCAGACCAGCACTACATATAGCTGGTCGGCCTCAGTTTGAGGGGCATTCTTCAGGCGTTCGTGGAGGTACCCAGTAGCGGTGGCTGTAGTAGACGATAGGATAGCGGTAGTCTTCCAGCGCTGGGTGCTGTGTCAGGACTTCACACACACACACACACACACACAC